AGGCCGGGCGGCCCTCACCCCTGCCCTTCTCTGCCCCTCTCTGCCCCCAGTACTTCGTCACCAGGAACTACTCTACCCTCATCGCCTTCGCCGTCGGCGGCCAGTTCCAGCCCGGGAATGGGTTCAGCCTGCTGGGGGCCCACACCGACAGCCCCTGCCTCAGGGTAAGGGCGGACAGACGGGTTGTTGGCTTCCCCCGGAGCTGGGGCCTTCCCCAGTGCCTTCCAGTTTCGCTCCACAGGCTGCCGGGAGTCGACCCTGACCCCGCGCCCCGTGCCCCACAGCACCGTTCCTCTGTCCCTACACCTCCCAGAGCACCCCCCATGCTGGCTCCCTGCATTGCTCCACCTGCTATTGTCCCCTCTGTGTCCCCTGTCCCACAAAGCACTGCACAGCACCCTGCGCCGACAGGATCGGCGATGAGACTCCAGGCGTGCTCTGCCCAGTCCCTACCAGTTACCCAGTCCCTGGGGCTTTGCAGTTACACATCTGCTCTCGCCCAGGTGAAGCGGCGCTCAAAGCGGGGGCAGGTAGGCGTCGTGCAAGTCGGTGTGGAGACCTATGGAGGGGGCATCTGGAACACCTGGTTCGACCGTGACCTCACCGTGGCCGGGAGGGTGATCATAAAGGTGAGTGTGAGTTGGGACAGGCACGGCAGGCTAGCTGTGTGCCCCTGGTGCTGCGTCCGTGACTCCCACCCAGAATGGGACCTACTACAGCCCTGCAGGTCTGGCCCCAGCAATCCTCCTTGTGTTTCAGGACCCAGCCACGGGGCGCCTGGAGCAGCGCCTGGTACGTGTGGAGCGGCCCGTCCTCCGCATTCCCCACCTGGCCATTCATCTGCAGCGCAGCATCAATGAGAACTTTGGGCCCAACACCGAGCACCACCTGTAAGGCCTGGCTCAGCCCCGACCCCTGGCCAGCCCTCGGGAGGGCTGGGACCCAGCTGGAGCAGTGCCCAGCCTCAGCTCTCTCCCTCTGGCAGCTGCCTAGCACAGTGGGGAGGTCTGCAATGGCTTTTCTTAGCCCCATAGAGTCCTCCCAGGAGTTGCTTCCAGACTTGGGACTTGGGAAAGGACACTGTGGTGGCCTGAGGTGGCACAACAGATCTGTGCTTCAAATGTGTCCTTGCTCCTTTTGGCATGGCAATTGCTCCCTGGAGGAGCAAGGCAGGCACCCCAGGAAGGGTTGGTTGTGTGTTACCCGAGCAGGAGAGGTGAGCAAAGCTCCGGGAGCCAATGGCACTCTCTCCCCACAGGGTTCCCATTCTGGCCACTGCTGTGCAGGAAGAGCTAGAAAAGGAGGTGCTCATGGACGCCACACCTTGCAATGCTTCGGCCCAGGTGAGCCACGTGCCAAGGACTAGCAGGGGCACTTGCTAGGACCTCACACTTGTCGCCTTTGATTTCCTGTCCTCAGGGACCTGTCAGCAGGTTCCCCTTCCCCTTCTCCCCGTGGACTGCTGGTAACCTTCCACACTGCCCCAGAGCTGTGTGCCCAACACATCTACTCAGCCATCTCTCCATTCCCACCCTGGTCTGTAGCCATTGTGTAGAAAGGGGTGCAGCCCCCGTAAAGCTGTCGGTCTCCCTGGAGATGCAGGGCAGGGAGGGGGGATTGCACAGTGCCCTGCGAATGGCCCTGCCATCCTGTGTGAGGTGAAGGCTTGAACACAGGACGTGTTAGTAGCAGGGAGGGCTGTGCCAACGTGAGTAGGATGTGGGACGGCTCTGCCAGGGGGAGCAGGGAGTTTCCCCTGCCATCCACTGCCTGCCCTGCCCGCAGCTCTTCTTTCTTCCCAGGCAGAACGGCACAGCCCTGTCCTGCTTTCCCTGCTGTGCCCCCAGCTGGGGGTGAAACCGGAGCAGATTGTGGAGCTGGAACTATGCCTGGCGGATACACAGCCAGCGGTGAGTAAGGGCAGGAGCCTCCCTCTGCCTGCACACAGCCTGAGGGCTGGCACTGCACAGGTTTTACCCGGCACGCTTCCGCTGCCTGGGGCGTGCCAGGGCTGGGAGCTGAGCGGAATGAGAAGAGGCAGCTCCTGAGGGGTAGAGATGAGGGGACTGGGATGGGAACCCAGTGGCAGGTACTTTTTGGTGACCCAAAGCCATGGCTCTCTGCCTGCAGACGCTGGGTGGTGCTTTTGATGAGTTCATCTTCTCCCCACGCCTGGACAACCTGCACAGCTGCTACTGTGCCCTGCAGGTGAGTGGGACAGGGAAAGGAGCCTGGGGTCACAGCATGGCCCCTGTAAGCCCCAGCTTGGCCTAGCGGCGCTGTGTTCCTGCGGGATGGGTCTGACTTGTTGGGGGATCTGGAGTTGGACGGGGGCTGCTGTCCCCTTTGCTGGGTGTGTGAGGTTCCCAGCAGCTCCCAGGGGTGACTCTTCCTCTCGCTGGGCAGTGTGTGTGCCTGCAGTTCCCTTCCTTGGTGCTTTGGGCTCT